AAGAAAGAAAGAAAGAAAGAAAGAAAGAAAGAAAGAAAGAAAGAAAGAAAGAAAGAAAGAAAGAAAGAAAGAAAGAAAGAAAGAAAGAAAGAACTTATTAGATTAATATTTTGTTTTACAGCCTTTTGAACCAAAATGATTGCTTCATCAGATTGTGATCTCCAGCTCTCACTGGAGTGGTTCACAGCCGTGGCCGGGATGAGGATCAGTACCTCCGAATCCAAGACCATGGTCTTGAGCCGGAAACCGGTAGGGTGCCTTCTTTGGATCGGGGAGGAGGTCCTGCCCCAAGTGGAGGAGTTTAAGTATCTCAGGGTCTTGTTCACAAATGAGGGAAGAATGGAGCGGGAGATCGACAGGCGGATTGGTGCTGCATCTGCAGTGATGCGGGCGCTGTACCGGTCTGTCGTGGTGAAGCGGGAGCTGAGCAAGAAGGCAAAGCTCTCGGTTTAGCGGTCGGTCTACGTTCCTACCCTCATCTATGGTCACGAACTTTGGGTAGTGACCAAAAGAATGAGATCGTGGATACAAACGGCCGAAATGAGTCTCCTCCGCAGGGTGTCTGGGCTCTCCCTTAGAGACAGGGTGAGAAGCTCAGTCATCCAGGTAGGACTCACAGTAGAGCCACTGCTCCTCCACGTGGCTCAGGCATCTGGTTAGGATGCCTCCTGGACGCCTCCCTGCTGAGGTGTTCCGGGCACGTCCCACTGGGAGGAGGCCCAGAGGAAGACCCAGGACATGCTGGAGGGACTATATTTCTCAGCTGACCTGGGAACACCTTGGGATTCTCCCGGATGAGCTGGTCCAAGCGGCTGGGGAGAGGCTGCTTAGGTCTCTGGGTCTCTCTGTTTAGGCTGCAGCCCCCGCGACCCGATCTCGAATAAGTGGAAGAAAACAGACGGACCTTTTGAACCAATCCCTGCAATGAAGGGATTTCTGTAACCCTCTCTGAGACTTCAGCACCTGTCCACAGGCATTTTGAACCAAATTATTGTAAGCAAATTGCTCCGTCTGTCTCAGGTTTAAAGGGTGTCTTCACCATAATTCAGGTTTTAGCTCCTTCCACAGATGTTCAACATGACTTAGATCAGGGCTCAAAAAGACACTTCAGTATAGTCCAATGTTTTATTCTGAGCCATCCTTGAATATTTTTGTATGGCTTCGGTCATTAATCTGCTGGAGGACCCATGACCTTCGTCTAAGACCAAGCTTTCTAACACTGGGCAGCACATTTTGCTCCACAATGCCTGGAAAGTCTTCAGATTTCTCTGATGTCCATCTGCCACCAAATTTCTGTTTCATTTTTGGGTCTGCAAGCATTGAGTTCATAGGACTTGTTGCCAAGAAAAGTGTTGCTTATACACTATAATGCCAAAAGTATTTGCTCACCCATCCAAATGACTGCACACCAGTGCACAAAGCAAGGTCCATAAAGACATGGATGGCAGAGTCTGGTCTGGATGAACTTGACTGGCCTGCACAGAGTCCTGACCCCAACCCAGTAGAACACCTTTGGGATGAATTATAGCAGAGACTGAGAGTCAGGCTTTCTGTCCAACATCTGTATGTGACCTCACAAATGCGCTTCTGGAAGAATGGTCAAAAATCCCCATAAACACTCCTAAACCTTGTGGACAGCATTCTCAGAAGATTTGAAATTGTTCTAGCTGCAAAGGGTGGACCAATATCATATTGAACCCTATGGATTAGGAATGCGATGTCACTTTTATTCACCATTCTTTAACCAGGCAAGTCCCGCTGATATCCCAGATCTCCTTTTCAAGGGCGGCCTGGGCCTGAAGGCAACCTATTGTACATGTTTTTGTGGGGTGGGGGAAACCGGAGTACCTGGAGAAAACCCACGCAAGCACGAGAAGAACATGCAAACTCCGCACAGAAAGACCCCAGGTCCGAACCAGGGATCGAACCCAGGACCTTCTTGCTGTGAGACGTCGGTGCTAACCAGTAAGCCGTCGTGCTGCACACTTAAGCTCATATGTGAGTCAAGGCAAGTGAAAGAATACTTTTGGCAATATAGTGTTTGTCAAAAGGACATTCTCCCAGACACTTTGTATCATGTTGTCCTGACGCATCTCAGGTAGAAAAAAAAAGAAATTAAGTAGGTCCTCTGGTCGGGTTCTTCTTTAAAGAAATGTTTTGTCTCTCCTCTAAGAGACTACTTCAGTCTGAGGAGTTTCAGGGGAACTCAGCCTTATAAGCACTTCCCCACATGGTGGACAAACAGGTTTAACGATGAACATCAACACTGTCTGTTCACATGCAAAGGAGGACCATGAACCTAACAATTGATCATTAGTGCCCTGATTATCACCTATTGTTCAGAGGGTCACAATTCTCTTGAGATGTCCAAAGAAAACTGTTAAAAGCTTAAAGCTTGCAGTCCTGTCTAGAGCTTAAACTTCTGAATAACCTGTGCAGCTGTAGTCACAGGAACATCTGTCTTTTACGCTTTTACCTTTAACATGCTGCTTTCTATGGTCCAAGGTCAGTGTGGAACCGACCATGATACCAAACAGCACTGGTGTTTTTTTTTTCTTTTATATTTCTGTTGGACCAGTTTCATGTTATTTCAGAGAACTTTCTAGTATTCTTTTTTATGAAAGAGTATTATATTCATATCTATTTGACACCAATTTAACCACATCCAAGGGTTCATTACTAATGCCTCAGGGCTTATTTTCCATCCCAGATATAACAAAAGCTCTCCACAACTGTTTCTGGTTTTTTTCTTAGGTCCAGGTAGCAAGAAAAACATGAACCCGTCATTGCCTTTGAAACCCTACAGCCCAGCAGCATCTGGATCCATGAGGCCTGGGTTGAGAACTCCCCTCTATCCTTTCTCTAACGGCTTCAGACAAACCCACACTTCCTCTAGATCCAGTAACTCGTCCCCGTCCTCAGGGATACTCGGGGGTAATCCTCCTCCCATCTCTTTCTTTTTCCTTCAGGCTGACATTTTCACCCTTTCTGACATCAATGATCCAATTGATTACACACCAGATCAAACACCTAACAGTTTATAAAATGCCTGACAGCTCTCCAGAACAATAAATATACATTTTGCATAAGCTCCTCTGTTTATGATTGGACATGAGGTTTCACTTAAAGGCCTCTTCATACTCCAATCGAACTGTCGAAACCGGCTGTTATTGTTGCAGCTGCGTAACAAAATTTTCATCATTCTGCCGCTTCGAATTTGCCACCTTTTCTTGTCACAACCCACTGAGGGAACTTTAACCCCTTCCACATAAGAACTTAAATGTGACTGGTTTGTGGCCATGTTTTGTTAATGCTGACAATGCTCGGACACTGCATTTCGCTTCAATCACCCGCTTCCAACAACAACAACAACAAAAAAAAACCTACCCGCTTCCAGAAGCCGACTGGAAGCTAATAGTCAAACAAACAAAAACTTGTGAATGGAGATAAAAAAAACTGTTTTGCACGGAGGAATCTATCTGCAGAAAAGTACAGAACTTTAAATGGGGCAAATAGATTTGTCGACAAATAACGTAGCATCGGAGGGCTTTTCTTTTCCGGAATGTAGACTCTAGAGGGAAGAACCCATGTACAGTGATGTTTCCCGCAGTGGGAGGAATTTCCCAGGAGCTCGGCTCAGTGTGTCTCAGGAGCTATGAAAGGGGTGCGTGAAAATGAACACTGAACAACCACGTGACCGTGCATCAACAGTTCGGCTTCAATTGGAGTATGTGGAAACCTTAAGATTCGTTAAATTAATTATTATTAACAAAACCTGAAGGTGTCCTCACTTTAGTACACATCTGGAAAACAGTTTGATTCTTTTGTTTGTTGACTTTCATGATGTCATACTTTCTGTTGGCTGCTAAATGAACCTCACCGATGAACAACCAAACAAGTCCACTTTGTGATGGAGTTTATGTTAATAATTTAAACCTTCCAGATGGAATCTCAAGTGGTTTGCCTTTTAAATATTATATCAGTTTGACTGGGAAGTTCTAGCTCTGAGTTGGGGTGAAATAAAAACATTTGTTTTCTAATGTTTGCAGGTGAAATACATAGATGTTCCTAAGACACTTTTTATTCTGTGGCCACAGCTTCATTCATTCAAAGTTGTTCATGTAGCTATTATTATCAGACTAAAGATAGATACTGCACTCACTGCAAGCTAGGTTCAGACGTCTGAGTCTGGACTGCGAGTCACTGGAACCCTGTGCCTCACACCAAACCTACAAGCCGCAGTCTTTAAGTCCCAACGTCTGTGTCCAAACCTTCAAATTCCCTCAGAATTATGATCCTCTAACTAGTCTTCAAGTAGTTTCCAACAGTCACAGCCCTGTCTGATCCCTACCATAAACCAAGGTCATTTCTCCTGATCTTGCTGTTCTTGACTTTATTTGAAACAACAGAATGTCAGACTTTTTGGAAGCTGAGAGTGGTCGTATTTGAATCTTTTCTCTCTCTCGAAGTAACAAGATATTTTCATGAAATAACAATGATTCTTGCCTTGATATGAGAGAATTTTTAGATGACATTAATTGTTTTCTCGAGATAATGAGTTGATAATCTTTTCTTGAATGCTTTTATCCACTAAAAGGTTGATTTTCATGTTGCTTTTCACACAACACAATCTGTGTGTAGGTTTAAAACTAATCAGATAAAATCTTTGAAGACTAGCAGCGTCTGTTTAGATTTTTTGTATCCAGTCTGAAAACATCAGCTAAAATTTCTGAAAGTATTTTTTGATGGCATCTGTTAAATTGAATGTCTATAAATCCGACAATCATCTACTGACAGGATTAAATGAGACCAGATGCGTTCTGCAAGGATTCAAATAACTTTCTGCTATTTAACTTATCTTTCATCTTTTGTGTTCCAGAAGTATTCCTGGAAAATATAGATCTTTAAAACAAATCATTCAAGTAATGCTGGGCCATGTGAAAGAAAATTCAGATTATTTCCAGATCAGATACATTACAGATCATAGGCTGTCTGTGCCTGATACTATACTTCAGAATCCTGAAGATTGGAAAAGATCGGCTCCTACAAATAGTCTTGGTTGGTTGTTCTCTGGTTGGGTTCAGTTCTCAGAAACAGTCTGTCCCCTCCTAACACTCAGTTCTCTCCCTGCAGTAAATGGACAGCCACACCGGGGCCTGTCCCCACCCAAACCAGCCTTATGGTCCAGAACTCACCTGGGTAAAAAGACCTTGTTTCTCCTTCTGTGTCTCATCATTAACCCTCCATTCGCTTTGCAGCATTTTTTTTTATCTCCACTGTGGCTCATGTTGGTGTTTTTTGTCCACATCTGTTGTGTTTAATAATTCTTTTCTGTCCATCATTCTTCCTGTCATCCATCTGTCTATTCATCCATGCCGCCTGTGTTTCTTCCACATGTTTCAGCCTCAAGTCGAGCTTTTGCTGGGTTAAGCAAAGCTTCTGGCAGGAGGTCAATCAAATAATCAAGATGTTGATTATTTGACTTGGTTTCATAAATGCTCCATGTGCTGATGGTGGGTGTTATACTGTCTGCTTTCAGTTTTCTTTCACTCAGATCTGCTAGGGTTCTGATTTGTTTCAGAAATTATTAACGAAATCATGAAAATCAAACTACAATTATCTGATTTAAAATAATCCCAGTTTTGGGATAAGACATCTTAAAAATTTGATTTAATCATTTTGAGTCAAAAGGGAAGATTCCAAAAGTAAAGTTAAATACAAAGAATGGAACATTAATTACTATTATGCTACCATTAGTTCACATCATATTACCAATATTTCCATTTTACCACCATTAGTTACCATTATACTACCAATATTTCCATTATACTACCATTAGTTACATTATACTACCAATAGGTCCATTATACTTCCATTAGTTACCATTATACTACAAATAGTTCCATTATACTACCATTAGTTACCATTATACTACCAATAGGTCCATTATACTTCCATTAGTTACCATTATACTACCAACAGGTCCATTTTTATCATTATTGTACCATTAGCTCTCATGTTACTACCATTAGTTACCATTATACTACCATTAGTTACCATTATACTACCATTAGTTACCATTATACTACCGTTAGTTATCATGTTTCTACCATTAGTTACTATGATACTACCAATAGTTCATTATACTACCATTAGTTACATTATACTGCCATTAGTTCCAATGTTACTACCATTATCTCTCAATATACTACAATTAGTTACATTATTCTACCATTATTTATCATTAAGCTACCATTAGTTAACATCTATGAATCTTTCCTTACAGATATACAAACAAAAAGAAGGGGCAATGCTTTTGAGGTGTTTATCCACTTTAAGGTTACATCATAACATAGCATTCCTAAAACCAATCTAGATCCAGACCCATTTTGGTCCAGGTTCTGCTGATTGTCTTTGTATAAAACCATGGGGGATACCTTCTCTTTTCAGATCATTTAATTTTTTTATTTTCACAATCTAACAAAAAACAGGCCGCCTGTTTTAAATCAAACTTATCGGACATTAGAACAAATAAAGTAGGGTTTTCACAGAGAAAGCTGTTTTTAGTCACTTCCTCTCCTGCTGCAGCCAACAGCTCATTGATGGAGGACAAGAAGCTTCCTGGTGTGTTTGGTGGCGTCCCTGTTGAGGAGCAGCTTCATGGTTGGTAACAGCTTAAGTCCTGTACCCAGAACTCTGCTCGTACTGTGTGCTTCATTCGCTCTGCATGGTTTTTTGGTGTTTTGGATCCAGACTCAGAGGCAGATCTGTAAAGGGACCCGAAGGGAAAACATTGGGCTGCCAGCTTTAAGCTTCTGGCCAAAAGCTTGAGCTGTGGAAACTTTGAGCTCCCCTGGTAGTTAGCTTGTGTTGAAGAACCCTCACTCTGCAGAGCTTTGTGCTTTTCTTTCACCACAGATATCTGAGGAATAAACAGCTTCTAATGAGCCTGTGATGAACCCGGTGTCTGCAGCTGAGCTTGCTGTGTTCTGCTTCAGCCTCTACTTCCTGCTTGTTCTTGCTGCAGAAAATGATGTTTGGAAACGTTAGCATGGCGTGCATTGAGCAGTTTTCATGGGACTGTAGAAACCGCTGTTTGCTACGTATTTCAGGACTGTTTGTGTGTGAAAAGAAAAAAAATGTCATGCCAGTATTTATTTCACTTCAGTTCATTCTGTAATCAGAAGAACTGTGTTGTAATTACAGCACACTTTCTATTATGGAGCTCCGTGGAGAACGTTTATTCGTTTTGTTGGCAAAGCTTCTAATTCAAGCCCAAGAAAAATAAACCAAGAAAGTATAAAAGTTCTTCGAACCAAAAACAACCGAAGCAGTCTCCAAATATCATCATCACATGTCTCTTGAGTTCAAGGAATGCCTCTGAATTGTTACAAGCTAAACTTTTGCGGGACTCCATCATCCTTCATGTTTGTGGTTTTGCATTTATTCCATTTAGTTCTGGACCTGGGTCAGGTCCCTGATTGAGAGGAATTTTGGCTAGAGGGAAGGGGTGGGGAGGTGGGGGTGTAATTGGCTGCAGGTTCTGGACCTCCAAGTCAAACACACAGTTTTATGTGGATTTCTGCAGGACTGTTTATGTTTTAAAGTTCATTTGTGTGTTTGGAAACGGCTGCAGAGCGTCTACCTTCAAATGGAGAAAAAGATTTTCCAGGAGATTAGAGAAAACAGATCTAAAGTGGCTGTTGGTGTTTAACTTTTGGTTTTATTTAGACACAATGCACCCACAGGCCAACATGATGCCTGAATCTAATTTACAGAACATGTTTCTGCCACGTACCACTTCAGAAACTTCTTAAAGCACATGATCCTGATCTGAGTGAAGCCAGTGGACCACTGCTTCCTATGAAATACGATTTTTTTCCATTAAAACTATTTTTAGATGCATTTGAAGAAAGTCACAGATGCAGAATTGATTCTTAGAAATGAAAATTCTTAAACATTTGATGCTGATGTTTGTTACAGGATCTCCAGTCCGTCCAGTCGTCAACATGAAGCCAAATGATGTACGAAAGCTTGGAGAGACCGGTAAGAACTCAGCTAGAGTTTAGAAATGTTGTTTGTTTCTTTAAACATGCCTAAACACTAGATTTATTTATTTAATCCCTGATGTTGGAACTTTTTTTAATTCAGACAAGTTAAACCGCATTGAGAAGAGTGAAAAGTCAGATTTCTTGCCTCGTAAAGTCCCAGCAGCAACTGCCAAGCCGACCAAACAGGAGCGAAGAAAGACAACAACTGCAGCTCCGACGGCTGCCGGTAACTGAACGTCACGCAGACAAAACCATTGTCAAACAGATCGGCACAAGATAAAAAAACACTCAGATTTAGAGTCCCACTATTAAAAAAACTTAGTGATACATAACACAGCCTGTGGCTTACTGGGGGTACATAAACCTAACCCTTACCACTTGCTGCTTCAAAAACAAATACGATAAAGGAAATGTGATCATTTTCTCCAGTTTAATCCTGACAGCTTAGACATCATTATCTTTCATTCATTCTTTTAGTGACACGACAGGAAACATGGGAAAAGTCAGACCTCTTCAAGGCACAGCCCAGCTCTGACGTTGATGCTCTTGGGAATAAACGTTATGTGGGTATGTTTTCATCCCGCATAACTGAAGCGTAGAAACAAACATTTAGCAAAGTTTTTGTTCTGTCTACTACTAATCTATCCCTTCCTCCACCCATAGCACCGCATGTTGTCTACCAAACTGGTAAGAAACCTGACGAGCCCTGCTCCATCACCTCCTCCCTTACATATTTCCCTGAAGACGAACGCGGTGAGAAAAGATCGACATCTCCTCCTAAGAGTCCACCATCCAACCTCACTGTGGTGACAGTAGAAGGGTGTCCATCCTTCATCATTTTGGACTGGGAGAAAACAGACAACGACACCACCGGTATGAAGATGATAGATCTAAGCACCAAAACCAGGAAGCATTTCTTGTGTAGGAGGTGGGCTTAAGCTGAATTAAGCTTCTCCCGCATCTCTCATACACAAGGTTATGTGGAAAGTTTTACCAAGGTAGTTCTCATTACTTTTAATATCTTGACTGTGCGAAGTGAAAAGTGACACAGTAAGTGACGTTCAGACGAGTTCAAGTCGATTCATAAAAGACTATGCAATCATTTATTTACACAAATTGAACAAATCATAAGTACACTTGATTGTGGGTATTCCTATAAAAAGTGTCAAAGTTAAATGAGATGAAAATCCGTGTCCGAATTTCAGTTCACATCAACTCAGATTACTTATAAAGAACAGTAAAACGTCAGCTCTAATGTTAACAACCAAACAATTTTACTGGCACTTTCAGCTTAAGTTTTGGCAAATAAAGACAAGAAAAGGAGGAAAGTAAGGTTAGTATTTCTACTAATTTAACTTTAACAAAGTGTGGTTCAACCGGATCAGCATGTCCTTTCTGCGCTCAGGATTTCCACATGACACGTCACCCCGAACACGTCAGTTTTACCTGGTGATGGCTTCTTGAGTCACCCCTGGGTAGGAACTGTCTCACCTCCGATCAGTCAGGGAACTTTTTATCGGCTCGTTTACTGTTCCTTGACAAGTAGGTGTGTCGAGGCAAGATGGTCAGAAACACGGCGAAAAGGGTGTTAAAAAGACAAGTATTGCGGGTATGATCATAAAGTCATTTATTGATGGGCAGACATGGAACAGAAAGCAATCACGAAGTCTGTTAGATGTGGGCCCACCTGTCATAGGCCGGCAAGCAATGATATACTGTCAGCTAACATCATGTGATAATGAACAACCAATCCCAACCTGCCCCATCCTGATACACGGAAAGAGGTCAACTCGATGATGACGTCCAGGGATATCAACGAGATATGAACAGTGGACAGTGTCAAGGTGATACAGACATAAGTATTCCACAGCAAGGTGTTTTCCATGTAACTTTTCGTCTGTTTCAGTCCAAGCCAGAAAGATTCTAGCTGACATCCGGTTCCTTCTTTCAAAATGAAATCTCCCCTTGGGAGGTAAAAACACACTTGGAGGCTTGAAGCCTCGGATGGGACAGCCGGCTGGCGTGCCAGGCCCCGGCCATTAAGTCTTCCCTAGTTAGCTCAAGGGTTAAGACTCAAAAGCCAAACTGCTTCTCTCCGAAGAGAGAACTCAGCTTTCTTCCTAGTTGGAGTCAGGAAGAAGAGTGTGTCCGTTCCTCAAAGCTGTCCGGGTTAGTAAGAGAAACGGACAATCTTTGGTTCCGCCCTCAGGCGTAGAGATGAGTCAGAGAAAGAAAGATAAAGATTTGCCAGCGGCGCAACCTCCAAGGTTAAAATTCTATGGCTGTTCACAACAGGATGATAACCTTTCTTCAGCTTTCTTCTGATAGACTCTAAGAGAAATCACTGCAAAACATTTATGATGATTAATTAACATTTCTGTCTTATAATCCATTTTGAACCTTCTGTTAGTCCAGATAAATGAAAGATTTTCTCAGGAAAAATCCACAATTATATTACTGTGTTCACAGTAAAATAAAAACAGTGATTTACATAAAAACACAATGAAAACATTGTAATGATTTTCTCTGTGATTTTTTTATACCATTATTAATCTTTTAGGCACGATAAAAGGAAAGAAGTGGTTCCACTTTATTGTGACAGTCATTATCCTGATTTAACAAAGGCATAAACATTCTTAGTTAAACAACAAATGAATCACGAACAGAAGAGATTGTTCTGTCCATTATCTGATTAAGAGAACTGAGGAGTTCTCTTCCAGGTTGAAATGACCTGTCATGGCCTAAATAGAGTTCAGTTTGTGACAGAGTTCCTGTCCTCTCGTCAGGCTTGTTCGAGGCCTGGTTTGAGGCAGTAAATCTTGTTTCTTCACTCGAGGTGACCCCTACACTTGTCTCATATATGAAAAAAAATCTCCTTTATATTGTAAATTTAATATTATTTATCTTTTTTTCTGTAGAATATGAAGTCATCTCCACTGCAAAAGGACCTGACGGAGAACGGGTGTCTATCTTGACCACCGACCAGACTCACACTGCAGTGGAAAACCTCAATCCTGAGAGCAGGTAGGCTCATCTAGGGCTATACAAGGACCAAATTTGTAGAGGTAAATTAAATTTTCATCAGGAAGATGACAGAAGACTTATCCCTAAGAATAAGACTATCCCTCTGTTCAGTTAGTTCTTCCAATGATGGCAGCTGTGGCTAATGCCCCTTTTCCAATTGCACCTTTACAGCATGGTTTGACATGGCTTGGTTGCAAGGCTTTTTCACTAGCAAGGATTTATGGAACCAGCCCCCTTTTCAGAACTTACTTTGCTAACATGCATAATGTCACGAGACTGTCTGTCACTGATTAATTGATAAAGGGGTGGAGTCACTGGTTGCGTCACAAGAGCTACTCTCACAACCACCCTATCCGCCATTTGCAATAACAACGCAACCATGTCCTCCAATGTTGTGTTGCATATCTTTTCGGGGTCTTCTTCTACTACTATGTTTAAAAACCGTGTAAAGTAAAATTAAATGTGTGTTTTGAGTTTGTCACATGACAGAAATATGTGTTATTAATCACCCATTTAAATCTGACTGATTAAAAACATTGTTTACTTTATAAAATTAAGTCTCAAAAGTAATGAAAAAACATCATTTTACTCTGTTCTGAAATGCTGGGGGCATGTCAGCTGGAGGAGCTGAAACCACACCCACATGCTGAGTGTTACTGTGTCCGTGTCCTGTACTGAGGAGATGTTCGCGAAGGCTGGAAGCCTAATTGGAGATCTCCAGCCGTACTCATTTGAACCATCAGAGCCAGACTTAGACTCTGAGTCAGACAGTGACCACTGTGATGGTCGGCATCGTCAATCCAGAGTTTTTTTCAGGCGGTCATCTCTTGGAAACTTAAATAAAGTCACCAAGCTGTTACCCTGCACATTGCGACATCCAGCGAAGATGCACGAACAAGAAGAATGAGGCATAATTGGTTAGCTAGCTAACAATGAACAAAATATCTATGCTATTGCGATGTGATGCTATCTGCGATTCGCAAGTGAACGGCAACCGCCGAGGCGAAGAACGTTTTTATACCACTGGAGCAGCAGGGGGCGGGGTTTTGCCGGGGTTATGCTGAAGGTGGCCCTGTGACGAAACGCAGCCGCCTTTTAAAACACGCCCAAAAAATCCTGAAACAAACACATCTTTAAACACAAATTGATCTATGCCTCCAAAATTAATGTATCTACAGTTGTGAGACTTTTTACTCATTTACAGCAATGCAATTGTGACATTTATAATGTTTAATGAAGAAAATATTAAAATTTACTTTATATGGTCTTTAATAGAGGCTGGCAAATAGCTTAATGGAGCATAACCGCCACTAGCTGATAAAGCGGCGTCAATTTTTGGACTCTGGGAACACCCAACTTTATAAATCTTTAGTTAAATGAGTTACAAGAATATTTAATTTCTCTCTGGGATCATTAAAGTATTTTTGAATTGAATTGAATTGAATGATGAACCTATCCCTTAGAGCTGTTACTGGAGTGTAATGGAAAACCACCTTAGCCAACTCAAACTGTGTTGTAGAGGCTCTAGTGGGAAAGGGCCATAGGTAATTATAACAGTCATCCTCCACAGATAATGTTGGGAGTTCGATTCTACCACCATTCACTGTCATGTTAAAGTGTCCCTGGGCAAGAAATTGAACCCTTCATAGCCTCTGATGTATGTCCCATCAGTGTATGAATGTGATTTAATGGTACTGATTAGTTTTTGTAGAATACTTTATCCAGATTAGCTATGTCGTTGTACAGTAGAGTACTGAATGAATGTGTGTGTAAATGGATAAATGAGGGCACACATTGTGTTGTAAAGCACTTTGAGTATCCTGGTTAGATGCTATATAAGTACAGTCCATTTACCGTTCCTCTCATAAAAACATTTTTTATACAACCCTGAAAAAGTTGGAACTTTGTGTAAAATGTAAATGCAAACAGAAAGCAATGATCTGCAAACCTCATGAACCCATATTTTATTCACAATGGAACATGGCAAACAACAAATGTTGAAAGTAAGAAACCTTTTTTAAGGTTAATTTAGAATTTAATGGCAGAAACACGTCTGTAAAAATGTGGGCCAGGAGCAAGAAAATGCTGTAAAAGTAAGTGGTACAAATAAGAAACAGCTAGAGGAGCATTTTGCAAATTATTAGGGTAATTGTTAGGACTGGGTATAAAAAAAAGTTTTTTATTGAGCCTAAATCTCTCAGATGTAAAAATGGGCAAGGGTTCACCAGTCTAAGAAAAAATGTCTAAAAATAGTTAAACAGTTTCAGAATAATGGGCCTCATGCAAGAACATGTTCGTATTCTTATCCTAAATTTCTCTTACTTTTGTTCGTACGAAGGGTTCGTACGAACATGCCACGTCAGATTCAACAAACTCTTCTATCTTCAGGAAAAGTGTGTAAATGAGCTGCGTAAATTACACCTGTTCGTATCCAGCTGTTCGTGCACGCTAGAGGAGATTAGCGTAATTACCACCCCAAAAACACCATATAAGGCTATGTTTCTTGCCTCAGATATTTGTTCGTATCTGAAAAAAATCTTAGAATACGAAAACATTGGTGAATGCCACAAATTCTCCTAAAGCACTCGTACACACAATTTAAGAACAAATCTGTGCGTACGAATGGTTCTTGCATGAGGCCCATTGTTCCTTAAAGGTGCAATATCACGTAAACTAAATTTTTTTAGCTTTATATCATGTTATAATGATATCCTCTCATCAAAAACATGCCCAGAGTCTTGCTCTGACTCCTTCATGCATGTTTGAGAAATCCTGTAGTGTCCTGAGGCAGCCAGGCAGGGGTGAAAAAATGACCGGTTGGGCCCAGAACTGCTTTTTGGGATCAGCTCTTCCTCTGGGGCTGTGTCTCCATGCCGAGCTTCCTCATTACAGAGCCCCCCCCCCCCCACACACACACACACCCCGGCCCGGCCAGCAACAACTAGCAAACACCCGGTGAAATCCGTGTCTGCTGAGCTCCTAATACTAACCACTTTTCAGTCCAGTCCTTTCAGATTAAAAATGCCTTTGAGGAAATGTATTTTCAAATGCGAAGGAAACTACCCTCTTTTTGAGCTTCACAAGGATGACACGGTTCTTAAAAAAATGGTTGGACTTCATTTTTGGAAGTAACCCTCCGACGAAAGAAAAGTTAAATATGTGCCAGCCAAATGATAGATTTCTGAACAAAAAGGAAATTAACAGTGGACCAATAACAAGATTATCACTAAAAGACAATGCAATTCCAACACAAACACATTTGTCAAACACCGTCGTCATCTGCCCAGGTAAGCTGACCAACAACTCACGTTGTTTTGTTCACATCGTCGTTTGGTCTATGTGTGATTTACGGTTAGCATTTGTAACTTATTACGATCACTACATGTGTGTGTCTGTGAGGATGACTGAAATAATCTTACCAGCTGAAATGTCATCTCTGTAATCGCTCCAGTTCTTCAGAAAACGTACTTTTCGGTCCGACGATAAGACTCATATGTATCCTGAGATGCAATTTTCCAAAACCGATATTGTATAATGCTCCTTTTTTTTCTCATTACAACAAAGTCTGCTATGATGCTCCAGGTTGTAAACAGCAGAGCCAAATAGAGAGAAGTTGTTGTGACGACGTGCTGAAATAGGAGGGACAGAAATGGAAGAAGGTTCTTAAAGAGACAGAGGCCAATTTCAAGGCGTTAAGAAACAGCTGTTATGTGAAGTCAAGTTTATTTTCTATTTAAACATATAAAAAGCATTTTAATAACTGAAGATGACATGGTTACTTTACTATGGTATAGAATTTAAATATACAGTATGTCTGAGAAACACATAATACTGTCCCTTTAAAAGGAAACTGAAAAGACTTATTATTCCTTCATCAACAGTTAAAAATATTGTATAAATTTTTAGTTTCAACATATGTTTACTATGTAACATAAAAACGGGTTTGTGAGATTTGAAAATCATTGAATTTTGTTTTGTTTACATTTTACAGAATGTCTCAGTTTGTGCAGAGTGGGTTGTAATGATGAATCTGAAGACCTTCTTGCTGTGAATGTTCAGAGTTAACATCTGCAGCTTGGCTCTGCAGTCTCTTTGCACAGCTGTTCAAACACAGCAAAGCAGTTGAGTGGAGAAAATAAGCAGTGTTTCTTTTCTATGCTCACCGACTCTTTAATGAGCCTGATGTGAGAAAGTTATGTGGTGTAATGGAAGGTGGTGGGAAATGAAGTCTAGTTCCCAGTCAATTTAGAGCAACTGTTTTCACTTTCAAGCACTTGCTGTGAGATGCTCATGACTCCTTCAGGTTCTGCAGCTCTTTGAGTAAAAGGAACATAAACATGATGCACTTGAAAATTTCAAAGAAAAGCTGTTGTCTTTTTTTTCTCAGCAAACTTATTATTATTTTAACATTTTTAACATGAATCACAGAACATATCCTTTCCCACACCCACCCCAGCATTTGCCATCCCGATGGTCAAGAACATTTGTGATCTGACTCAAAGTAGTTTAAGTGTTTTTGTTAAATCCCTTCAAGATTCAATGGTATCTGAAAATGATCCTTGTTTATGACAATTCCAGGTGTGCAATGTCCATACTTGCAGCCAATGAACAAATTAAAGTGTCATTAGGAAGTTTCTTCCTCTGACCTAAAATTTTCTCCACTGCATTAACAACCAGACTTTACAATTTTTCCTCATTAGAGATAGATGTGAATCATCATTAAACAAGTGCATAGCATGGTGGAGAAAATCCAGTTTCTTCTGCAAGACAATAAATTGCAACCTATTGTAAATGTTTTAGGTCTGAGAGAGGAAACCAAAGTACGCGAAGAAAACCCACACCAGCACGAGGAGAATATGCAAACTCTGCTGTGAAAGACCCCAGGTCCAAACCTGGGATCAATCCCCTTCTAGCTATGAGGCATCAGTGCTAACCACTGATGTGTTGTGCTGCCTAATACACATATCAGTGCAAACAATGAAACGTCCACACAAGAATTA